GTGGTGCCGGCGGCGAGTCACGAAACGTCAACCCTTTCGCACGAAATGAGGGTCGATCGGCAAAAACTGAGGAAAATTTGCGATTTGACTTGTCCCGGAGCAACCCTTTCGCACGAAATGAGGGTCGATCGGCAAAAACTGAGGTAAAATTGCGATTTTATTTGTGCTACGGCAACCCTTTCGCACGAAATGAAGGTCGATCGGCAAAAACTGAGGCAAAATTGCGATTTTACTTGTGCTACGGCAACCTTTTCGCACGAAATGAAGGTCGATCGGCAAAAACTGAGGCAAAATTGCGATTTTACTTGCCCCGGAGCAACCCTTTCGCACGAAATGAGGGTCGATCGGCAAAAACTGAGGTAAAAGTGCGATTTTACTTGTCCCGGAGCAACCCTTTCGCACGAAATGAGGGTCGATCGGCAAAAACTGAGGTAAAAGTGCGATTTTACTTGTGCCGGAGCAACCCTTTCGCACGAAATGAGGGTCGATCGGCAAAAACTGAGGTAAAATTGCGATTTTACTTGCCCCGGAGCAACCCTTTCGCACGAAATGAAGGTCGATCGGCAAAAACTGAGGTAAAATTGCGATTTTACTTGCCCCGGAGCAACCCTTTCGCACCAAATGAGGGTCGATCGGCAAAGTGTAAAAGCGTCTGTGTGTAGAAGCGTCTGTGTGTAAAAGCGTCTGTGTAAAAGCTTCTGTGTGTACAAGCGTTTGTGTGTAAAAGCAGCTCCTGTGTGTAAACGGGTCTGTGTGTAAAAAGCGTCTGTGTGTAAAAGTGTCTGTGTGTAAAGGCGTCTGTGTGTAAAAGGGCCTGTGTGTAAAAGCGTCTGTGTGTAAAAGCGTCTGTGTGTCAAAGCGTTTGTGTGTAAAAGCGTCTGTGTGTAAAAGTGTTTGTATGTAAAAGCTTAGAGGTGTTTAAAAGCTTCTGTCTGTAAAAGCTTCTGTGTGTAAAAGCTTCTGTGGGTAAAAGCTTTGTGTGTAAAAGCGTCTGTGTAAAAGCGTCTGCGTGTAAAAGTGTTTGCGATGCAAACTATTGTCTTGCACTTCTCACTATTTTGTCTTGATACTCCTCTTCTCGACTGCCTATAACACAGCTTTCATATACCGTTTCTAAAATTGCATCTCCATACTAACAAGAGAAGACCCTGCTCCTCTACGCTCTCGGGCCATCCGTCGTCTAGTTGTTTGCATGTAGGGCAAGTATGGAAAAAGCGGCGACTCACTTCTCCATCGTGCACGCGAAAACGTGTCCCACAGTGTTGTCCCGGTGCTTCAACTTGACCTGTTGCAACATGGCTGGTCACTTGCCGCTGGCAATATGGACACTGGTATGCATACAACTGTTGCATTGGGCTATTACTTTTCTGTTGCTGTGGCACTTCGGCTTTTGTTGTGACATCCTCGGCTGGGGCGACGTGATGCTGTGCACTAGTCACAGGTGGAGGATGATGTTTTTGTCGGTGCAACGCGATTGCTTCCCAGGTGGCCCGCAAAATCTGAGTTTGACGCAGCCTTTTGCGGAGCGGTTCGAGCCGCAACATGCTGGATATGGCAGCACGCTTGCGCACAGCAGCCTGTGTCAGCACCGTGCAACAAGCATTGCATGTCTGAGTGCCATTTTGACTGGAAGGGCACTTTGAGGAAAAGGTTGAAAACTGTCGCGTTGGCAGGCGTTTCTGACATTGGGCGCATGTCCAATGACCCCGCGTCTTTGTTTGGCATTGTAAGCACACGCTTCGCTCAAGCTTGCTGGCTTTCCACGCCGCGGCGCTAAAATACTCTTTGGTTTTCTTCGTTTGGCAGACACCACATTGTTTCTTCGCATCGCACGACGAGCACACTCGATACATGCTCCACCGAGGGTTCTGATGCTTGCTTGCAAAGTGGCATGCAGCGTGCCAGAGGCCGCACTGTGTGCAGTGGTAGGGTGTGCCTGCCTCGCGCTTCTGCGCGGTGCATTCTTTGCACACGCGGTAGGTTTCCTGTTTCCATTGTGCTTTGGTGAACGCATCTTTGCGCTTCATCTCCCCACATTCGTGGCACGGCCTTTCATCCAGGTATTTCTTGCGCAACGCGTCCCAGTCCACCGGCTCCTGTTTCCACACATCAAGCAGAAGTTGCCGTCCGAGCGGCAGACCTGCTTGAAAAGGTGCCAGCGGGAACGGACGGTAGATCAAGATCTTCTGCCGTGTGCGGCAGCGTGTCATCCCAATGTACGCCGCTATTGGGTCAGCACCGACCATGTCAACGATCACGCCTGGTTCTATTGTGCTTCCTTGTGCACCGTAAAACGTGTCAGCGAAGTCGGGCGCGATGGGAAATTGGTACCGGGTGACTTTCAATTGTGGGTTGGTGCGGCCCGCGTCTAGAAACCACTGTGCACTTTGTATGCTGACCGGGAAGACGTTCTCTTGATCGATGCCTGGAATTGTCCAACGTGTTCGCGTCTCAAAACGCACGAAGATATAATCGGGGAGTCTGTTCCATATTACTGCTCCATCTGCCGCCGCTGTTTCTGTCTCAATGCTTGACCACCCGCAAATGGTTCCATGACACCCTTTCAAGATCTTGAAATCCTTCCGGTGTAGGTGTTCCCGCGCTTGTACAGGCATACCAATGCACAGCGGAAGGACGCCATACCGATTCCCGCAATCAGCATCACTGCGTTGCAGCCATGTGAGCTTGTCTTGGGCGATGTCGGGCTTCTCGCGCAAAGCTCGCGATGATACCTTATCCGTAGCCACTGCATAATAGATTATTTGCACATGCTGCCGCGCCCATTGTTCCGCGCGAAGTTTATTCACGTGGCACTTCACCCCGTTCGTATGGAAAATACCTCGGGCCAAGCTGAAACCCTCGGCAAAAACCGAGGATCGTCTGGAGCCACCGCAACCAAACGCTTACTTTCTCGTTCGGCGCGGCAGCCTGCACATTCGTATTTGAGAATTGCTGCTGGCGTGGAACCGTTCTTGTACAAGCGATAGCATATATTTTCTCCACAAGTAGGCTGTTGCGTTCGTGCGCACCAGCTTCCCGGGACTCTTGTGGGTTGGCCGTGTAGGAATGCATGGTTGTCTTCGGATAGGCGTCCGACGCGAAGTTCGCCTTGCAGCTCCTGCAGCCAGACATCTTGCGTTCGTTCGCACCGTGTTAGTTCTGTAACCCCCTGTAGGCCACCTTGCACGCTGGAAAGCCATACAATTTGCTGGCCTTGCAAGCTTAGTGGCAACTTCTTAGATCGCAGGGTGCAATTGATATGTTTCTTAAGTTGGTACCAAGATTTCCCTGCTTCAACAAGTAACCAAATGTAGCTAATCCACCATACTTGCTTCCGGGGTCGGCGGCAGGGGCGGCAGCCCTTAAATCCGGCCAGGGGCCCCCTGGCCGTGGCATAGCCGAAGGCGGTTCTCTCCTCTCCGTAGGAGAGAGGGGCCGCCGCCCCAGCCGCCGACCAACCCGGCCGCCAAAAACCCCCGCGTTTTACGGTGTTTTGTGCTCTTCCCACTTTTTCCCATTTTTCGGACCTTGTGGCTCAAGATGGGTCAACATGGGCCAACATAGGCCGCAAGATGGGCCAACATAGCCCGGAGATGGGCCAACATAGCGCCCAAGATGGGCCAAGATAGCCCCAAGATGGGCCATCATAGCTCCAAGATGGGCCAACATAGCCCCAAGATGGGCCAACATAGCCCCCAAGATGGGCCAACATAGCCCCAAGATGGGCCAACATAGCCCCAAGATAGGCCGCCGACCATCAAAATATCATGCGTTTTACAGTGTTTTTTTTGCTGTTCCCATTTTTCGGATCTTTTGGCTCAACATGAATCAACATGAGGCCAACATAGGCCAACATAGCCACAAGATGGGCCCACATTGCCCGCAAGATAGACCAACATAGGCCAACATAGGCCAACATAGCCACAAAATGGGCCCACATAGTTGGGCCCCTGGCCGGCTGTCGCGCGTAAGCGCTTAAATCCGGGCGCCAGCCCCGCGCCCGTGTCCTCGCCGGAGGCCTTCGGTGGTAACCGAAGGTTATATACGCTGGCCGCCCCTGCCGCCGACCACCTCGTACTTACCCCCGGTCCACGATTATACTTGTAATTTACAGTGTATTTTGCTCCTGGTGTTCAAAAACATCGTTTTTTTACAGGGTTTCGGGCCCCTCGGCGGCGCAGAATTGCACCTTGGCGATGTTAAAAACTGTGGGTTTTTCCATAGTTTTTGCTTTGAGGGGCGGAAAAATCGTAAAAAGTTGTCTCTGAAGATGTTTTCAACATAAACGGCCCAACATCTGACCAACATAGGCCCAAGATCGCCCACCTATCCTCCAGCTATGCCCAACATAGCCTCCAAGCTGGCCCAACATAGGGCCAACATAGGCAAACCTAGGCCCAACAGAGGCCAACATAGGCCCAACATAGGCGCAACCTCGGCCAACATAGGCCAACATAGGCCCAAGATGGCCCAACATAGGGCCAACCTGGGCCCAACAAAGACCCAAGCTGGGCCCAAGATGGGCCCAACATAGCCCAACGTGGGCCCAACATGGGCCCAACATGGGCCCAAGATGGCTCAACATGGCCCGACTTGGCACAACCTACGCCCACGATGGGCTCATGATGGCTTGACATGGCATGACATAAGCCTACGCTGGGCGCAAGATGGCTCAGCATGGGCCCGACGACAACGACGACGACGACAACCACAACAACCACCACCACCACCACAACCACAGCCACCACAAGCTTGGCCGGCGCCCGGCTGTCAGGCGTAAGCCTCATAAATAATGATTATTATTATTATTATAGATGCGCCGAGCTGAAATTAACTAGTCGGATCTATACAAAACCCCGTCCGAATCCACATGAATGATCTCATGAATCATCTCATGACACATCATGAATCAAAGATTCCTCGTCGATTCCTCGTCGATTCCTCGCCGATTCCTCATTCTTTCTCTCGATTTTTTTGAACTCCCCTGGGTCAAAAACTGC